GACAAACTACCGCTCAGAAAATATCGCGTACGCTTCTACGCTGGTACTATCGCTAACTAAATATCTGACAAACAAGGTTTATTGGCAACTTCGAGCCACCTTTATCAGGCCCGTTCGTTGTAAGTAGGACCATATGTAGACTGACTAAATCTTCGAGGAAGCCTGTATATGACCTCCGAAATGATATTTACCTTTTGCCAGACTATAACAACGTGGCACAGGTTAATTTATTGTCAACGGAGGTCCTATAAACTATCTATCCCAGAGGGCTCCTGACGGGAATAAGATCCGGTAAATTTGATTGGACCACAATCTAGAACTTTCGTCTGAATTGTTTCCGCTATCACTCATGGTATTTACATTGGCGTCATATGATGTCTAGTTTACCCAGCAGTAGACCGCTACAGGACGAAATCATGGGACGTATCTGACCTTCGTCCGTCCAGTTGCACACTTTTACTATGTTGTCTACCTTGTAGGCATCTGTTCAATTCTTTACATTTGTCAGTTTACGACCAAAAGTTGAAGTTTTCGGAACTCACTCTTCCATTCCGTGCTCTCATTTCTAGGCAATTTGGAATAAACAGTTCTACTATCTCTTCGGCTTCCTCTTCATCGTCTTCCTCATCCTCATAGTCAGCTGCGCTCAGGTTGCGATCGTTGCCACCTACTTCCAGTTGTGTAGTGAGGTAAGTCTGGCTGAGTATTGCTGATACTCCCGGTGTGTTTCTTTCGATTCCCAGTCTGTTACAGCGTTTACCTTGAATAATTATTGTGACAATTTTAATTTGCCAGTCCATGCTGTCCCACAAGGGGGTCATTCAAACTGGTGTATCTCCTGTAAAAGTATTTGGCCTTTTCAGTCAGATTAAAACAAAGCCTACAGGTGGAAATATTTTTGACCGGTTAAGAGTGATTTGTTAAAGTTTTTCATTCCAGCTGCGAGTTCCCGCCATGTGTTGATGTGATAATGCCATGCTCATAGCTTCTTCTTCCGATCCGTCTCATGCTATTTTCATCGGTTCCTGTTAGTAGCTTTGGCGGTATTCGAAGATAACTTAACGGCCCTCGGTTATGCTCGAATACCGCCACAGCTACCAACAGTCCAACTTCGCCTTTTTGTGGAGTTTGCCTTTGCTGAAGGGTAACACTGACTACCAGGCTCAGCAGATCACTTAGGATTTTTCTACGTCTTCCGACGAAAATACTGAGTGACCTGTTGAGCACGGTAGTCAGTGTTACCTTA